TGTGTGGGTCTGTTTCTGGACTCTGTTCTGTTTCACTGACCTATTTGTCTATTCTTTTGCCAATACCACACTGTCTTGATTACTGTAGCTTTATGGTAGGTCTTGGAGATGAGTAGTGTCAGTTCTTCAACTTTGTTCTCCTTCAAAAAGTTTTTGGCAATTTAGGGTCTTTTGCCTCTCTGTGTAAACTTTAGAATCAGTTTGTAGATATCCACAGAATAACTCACTGGGATTTTGATTGGGATTTCACTAAAACTATAGGTCAAGTTGGAAAGAACTGACATCTTGATAATCTTGTATTCCTATTTATGAACATGGACTCTCTCTCCATTTATTCAGTTCTTCTGATTTGCTGGGGTTTTTGACTGGCTTTTAAATTGTTTCCTATGACAACAGCTACCAATTATCAAGTCCATGCTGAGTGCTAACTCTGAACCAGCTCTCTACATGTATCATCTCATGTAATACTCATGACAACCCTATGAGGTGGGAATATTATTCCTCCATTTTGCAAATTAATAAAGAAGATGAGGCTTAGGAGAGGTTAACTTCTCCAAGGTGACAAATAGAGGAAATATGAACTCAGCTCTCAGTAAGGGCAAAGCCCCTGGTCTTGACCATTACCCCGAGTCTTGTCCTTCTGGGTTATTTCTACCTGAGCCAATGTGGAATCTTTTCAGTGGGCAGACTTTTCTTTTTGAGAGTGGTCCTGCAGGGTTCCAGGTCAGTGGCAGGTCACCTTCAGCTCTGAGCGCTCCTATTTCAGCCAAGTCTGAGTCTATTATAGTTGCATTTACTTTTTATGACTGGGACTTGGGATTCAACTTTTAAAAGATTTATCCATCCTTCAAAATGGGATCCTTGGAACCCAAACCCTAGGACTGCATGGTTTGTATGTGTATATATTTATTCTTATTTCATCACAGAGCCATCTCATAGGGCCCATAGTAGACCCAACAGTTCCCTGAATAGATTCCTGAGACTTCCAGTTTCTAGAACCCTCTAGAAAAGAACAGCACCTTCTAGCAGGATAACAGGTTTTTCCCATCCTGCCCACCCAAGCTGGACCTCCAGGCAGGGACTTCCCTTATCCCCTCTAAGCAGCCCACATTTTAGCTGGTAGTCACCCAAACCAAGCACTTCAACTGAAGCAAAATGCCATCATAAATAACCAAAGATGATCAATTGGCTTTTTTCAGTGCCCCTGGCTTAACATAAAGATGAGAATTAGAAGAGATTGTTTTAACTTTTTGAGGAACCTCCATACTGTTTTCCAGAGTGGCTGCACCAGCTTGCACTCCCACCAACAGTGTAGGAGGGTTCCCCTTTCTCCGCATCCCCGCCAACATCTGTCATTTCCTGACTTGTTAATTTTAGCCATTCTGACTGGTGTGAGGTGATATCTCACTGAGGTTTTGATTTGGATTTCCCTGATGCCGAGCAACGTTGAGCACTTTTTCATGTGTCTGTTGGCCATTTGGAGGTCTTTGCAGAAATGTCTATTCATGTCTTCTCATTTCTTGAATGGATTATTTGTTCTTTGGGTGTTGAGTTTGATAAGTTTTTTATATATTTTGGATACTAGCCCTTTATCTGATATGTCATTTGCAAATATCTTCTCCCATTCTGTCAGTTGTCTTTTGGTTTTGTTCACTGTTTCCTTAGCTGTGCAAAAGCTTTTTATCTTGGTGAAGTCCCAGTCATTCATTTTTGCCCTTGCTTCCCTTGCCTTTGGTGATGTTTCTAGGAAGAAGTTGCTGCGGCTGAGGTCGAAGAGGTTGTTGCCTGTGTTCTCCTCAAGGATTTTGATGGACTCCTGTCTCACATTTAGGTCTTTCATCCATTTTGAGTCTATTTTTGTGTGGGGCAGAAGGAAATGGTCCAGTTTCATTCTTCTGCATGTGGCTGTCCAATTTTCCCAATACCATTTGTTGAAGAGACTGTCTTTTTTCCACTGGACATTCTTTCCTGCTTTGTCGAAGATTAGTTGACCGTAGAGTTGAGGGTCTGTTTCTGGGCTCTCTATTCTGTTCCATTGATCTGTGTGTCTGTTTTTGTGCCAGTACCATACTGTCTTGATTACAGCTTTGTAATAGAGCTTGAAGTCCGGAATTGTGATGCCACCAGCTTTGCTTTTCTTTTTCAACATTCCTCTGGCTATTCGGGGTCTTTTCTGGTTCCACACAAATTTTTAGAATTATTTGTTCCATTTCTTTGAAAAAAGTGGATGGTATTTTGATAGGGATTGCATTAAATGTGTAGATTGCTCTAGGTAGCATAGACATTTTCACAATATTTATTCTTCTAATCCATGAGCATGGAATATTTTTCCATTTCTTTATGTCTTCCTCAATTTCTTTCATGAGTATTCTATAGTTTTCTGAGTACAGATCCTTTACCTCTTTGGTTAGATTTATTCCTAGGTGTCCTATTGTTTGGGGTGCAATTGTAAATGGGATCAATTCCTTAATTTCTCTTTCTTCTGCCTTGTTGCTGGTGTATAGGAATGCAACAGATTTCTGTGCATTGATTTTCTATCCTGCTACTTTACTGAATTCCTGTATGACTTCTAGCAGTTTTGGGGTTTCCACATAAAGTATCATATCATCTGCAGAAAGTGAGAGTTTCACTTCTTTTTTGCCAATTTGGATGCCTTTTATTTCTTTTTGTTGTCTGATTGCTGAGGCTAGGAGACGTCTAGTACTATGTTGAATAGCAGTGGTGATAGTGGACATCCCTGCCGTGTTCCTGACCTTAGGGGAAAAGCTCTCGTTTTTCCCCATTGAGTATGATATTTACTGTGGGTTATTCATAGATGGCTTTTATGATATTGAGGTATGTACCCTCTATCCCTACACTGTGAAGAGATTTAATCAAGAAAGGTTGCTGTACTTTGTCAAATGCTTTTTCTGCATCTATTGAGAGGATCATATGGTTCCTGTGCTTTCTTTTATTAATGTATGGTATCACATTGATTGATTTGCGGATGTTGAACCAACCTTGCAGCCCAGGAATAAATCCCACTTGGTATATATATACAATGGAAGATTACGCAGCCAACAAAAAAAAAAAAAATGAAATCTTGACATTTGCAATGATGTGGATGGAACTAGAGGGTATTATGCTAAGCGAAATAAGTCAGAGAAAGATAAGTATCAAGTGATCTCACTGATATGAGGAATTTAAGATACAAGACAGAGGATCATAGGGGAAGGGAGGGAAAAATGAAACAAGATGAAACCAGAGAGGGAGACAAACCATAAGAGACTCTTAATCAAATGGGGCTTGCTGGAGGGGGGGGGGGGATGGGAGGGATGGGGTGGCTGGGTAATGGACACTGGGGAGGGTGTGTACTATGGTGAGCGCTGTGAAATGTACAAGACTGATGAATCACAGACCTGTACCCCTGAAACAAATAATACATATGTTAATAAAAAAAATTTTTTAAATCCTGATTCTGAAATTCATAGGATTTAAATCTAAGCAACTTACAGAAATTGCTTAAAAGGAATACATGCTTACTTTATTAACTATATCTATAAATTTGGGATTTTTGCTAACTGGCCCTCCTCAAGGTTTTCACCTAAATAATTGACTGTTTATTAAAAAAAAAGATGGTTTTAAAAGATTTATTGTAGAGATAAAATCTTTTAGTAGGATTAAGCGTGGCATCCAAGGTGCTATAAATCTCCATTACTATTTAATTAATAATCTCTATGGTAGTGTGGTCTTCTTGAAATGCCCAAGGGAGTAAACACAGATTTAAGCCCCAGTCCTTCACAGCTAGGTGCAGAACTGATTTAAGCCTAAGAACAGATGGGACCGCTTTGCCCACAGGTGTGTAGAAGTTAGTGTTGGCCTCTTGCCTCTACTCCTAGCTGACGATATATAAATTCCAAATTTTCAACTTTTATAGGAATTTGTAAGCTTCCTAACTCTTAAGACGATCCTTTTGTCTGAGCACTGTTATAAATGGCCTTACTTTAAGTTTTTATATCTTTCATTCTTCTGAGCATCTAGGCGATTCCACCGCCGTGTGTATACAGGCCATCACAGTTTTATGTTAAAAGGTAGTTAGAAGCTGTCCATACAGTACTTAGAAGAATAAGAGGTAAAGGAAAGATGTGCTATTGACAAAGCAGATGTGTGCAGATTGGACAAATGATTAATCTCAAGTTATGTGTGAAATAGTAATGTTAAGATAGGACTTCTATCAGCAGAAAATTTTGGCCTGTCCATAAGGGAAAGGGCTCCAGTTAAAGATATACAGAACCAGTAAATTAGATCAGGGGTCAACTTTAGAAAAAACAGGACAACACTTACCTTTACCTGAACTATTGAGATAATAGCCACAATATTTGGTTTCCCAGTAGAAATGGCAGGCAGTGTATGTTACTGTCAGACCAGAACACCATCACCTTCTATGCCCCAGGGCCTTGGTTAGTCTCACATCAAAACTCAAAGGTTAATTCTGTTAAAAAATCACCCAAGTGAGGCTTTCAGGGGCAAATTCATGCACAGACACGTTAAATGTCTTCACACTTTAAGGATGACTAATTCTGCGGTTCATGAGGACTCTCAGAATTGAGATGCTCAAAATGCCATAAATGTCCTTATTGAAGAAGTATGGTCTCACATAGCAGGAGGAACTCAGGCTCAATTGTAGCCACTTCTGATACTCTCACCACAACCTGAAGACCATTCAGCCTTGCTTTTGATGGCTGCCATTGAAGGGGGCCCGCTCTAGTAACATGCATGGGGTCTTCTGTTAGGAACAATGTGCTAGTTCATCACTTGTGGCTCATAACAAGTGAAATCAGGACTGGAAAGAAATAAGACTATACTTAATCATAAGGTTCCTGAAGGCAGGACTGCTAAACTATCATGACTGATCAAGACAGAATTGGTTCCCCTGAAATAATCTAAATCTTTAAAAAGTAGTCCTTGTTTTCTGATTTTTTTAAAAAGCTGAAATTCGAAATTCTTCTGTTTTTCTCTAGGAAAACCTCTTTTTTGTGATGGAGTATCTCAATGGAGGAGACTTAATGTACCACATCCAAAGCTGCCACAAGTTTGATCTTTCCAGAGCAACGTAAGAGCGCTCTAAAGGGTTTGGGGATTTTCCCCCTGTTCTTGTCAGGTACCGATTACCTATGATACCAGCAGAATATTTCTCCCATGTGGCATTTTTCCCATTTCCTTAGCATGCCACAATCCCAGGTCAGGGTAACCCCTGAGGGACATATCAAACAAGGTAACTATGTTCCCAGTTTGTGAAGCTTAAACCAGAGTCTGTTTTGTGTCATTTCTTTGTGATTTGGTATCAGTGACTTAGTTTCTTAAGAAACTGCCCCAATTCGTCACGCTTCTAAAGAATCTAAACACAGGAGCAAATATTTGCCCTTTGAAAAGCAGTAGTCAAATGAAACACAGATCTTAAAAGTGGTCATGGGGATGAAGCTTTAACTAAAGCTTTTAACTAAGGCTTTAACTAATGGAGAGCTCAATGTGAAGGCATAAAGCACATGGCTCCAGGGACATGAGTATTAGGAAACCAGAAGAGCATTTACTCCTTGAGAACAAATCTTCACCTTCTTTGGCATCAAGTGGAATCGGGAAGGCTGCATTTACCAGGTGGGAATGCTGCTGAGTCCCACAGAACCCCCTGGTACTCTTCCTCCCGTGGGCCCTGTTTCCTCAATAATAAAACCACTCTGACATTCAGAAAAAAAAGAAAACTGTGCCACAAGGCTCGCTTAAAAATATGGGTACACACTAGCTTTCTTTGCCTGGTGCTCAGTAATCTTTCACTCACCCCTAATGAACAATTTGAGTGGTTTAGGCTGAGCCGGGCTGAAAGATGAACTGGTCCCACCAGCTTCTACAGAAATCTCTGGCTGAAATGGCTTTTTATCAAAGCCAGTGGCTAGCATACCACTAAGCTCATCACCTCCAGGAACCATCCGCAAAGTGCCCAGAGATAATTTTATGGGATTTCTGCGGCAGAGAAATCATTAGGCAGTTTTCATGCTAAAGGATTCCAAGTCTGCCTTCCTCACTACCTCTGGAAGGCTTGAAAGCCATCACGGACACACTGTCTGCCGTGATCTCAATGCCTCCCAGGTGCCTGTCATCACCGGAGATGGAGAGCAGCATCTCCTTCCCATCTTCCAATAGCCTTTCCTCTGCCTCTCGGGCTGCATTTCTTGCCCATAAACAACTCAGGTCTATGTGGAATGACCCTGCATGCAGGTCTAAGGGCACCGAGCAGAGTTTAAAATAAAAGGGAAAATGATTTTCCCGTACTACTTACACTATGACATTTAATGTCCATGGGTGTTTTATTAGCAAAAAGAAATGCCAGTTTGAACATTATAGCTTAAGGTATAAAAAGCAGTAGCGCAGGTAAGACTCAATTAAGGTACCCGCTTCGCTTCATCCTCCCAGGGCTGGGGCCGCACGTATGGAATGGATGACTTCTCCCTCTTGTTAGGACTAAACAAAATTATGTACGGAAGGTGCGTGTGCATGCTGAGGACAGCACTTGCACGGAATGCTCACTGTATCAAATGGGGATTTTCTTTTGTTCCATTAATGCATCCATATTCAACTTTGATTTTCCTTCCCTCAGGTTCTATGCTGCTGAAATCATTCTTGGTCTGCAGTTCCTTCACTCCAAAGGAATTGTGTACAGGTAAAGTTTACTCTTTGGAAACACATACTGAGATAGCTGGATTTCCCTGTTCAATTAATTGAATCACTGTAGTGTTGTGAAATGGCCAGGGTACTTCTGTGGCAGGAAGTTCCATGCCCATGGTGATGGCAATCAAGTCAGGAACTCCAGTCCAAAAGCAGTAAGGTTCTGACCTCATATTGTTCTTTATTCTGGTCCACAGTTATTCTCCTTCCCACTTCCACTTGTTTCGTCTCCTTCCATTAGCCTGCTTTCTCTTTGGCATCTTTTCATGGCTTTCACTCTCTGCCTCCTTCATATCTCTTGTTGTTGCTTGGGCCAGCTAGAAATGCTCATTGAATGTTCTCCTCTTGGGTAGGGAAGGAGGGGGGACCTCTTCCTTGAACACTCAAATGCAACTGTGGAAACCTATCTGCCTACACCTGATAGAAGTGCATAGGAAGCCACGTGTACCCTCCTTCACGAGCGCATGTCTATCCAAAATGTCTCTATTGTACACCATCTTTTCACATCCTTCTTAGAGGAAAGCTATTACACTTTAATCCCCTTACCTCCTTTCTCAAAATATAGTTTGACACTTATTTAACATAGAAATCATCAAAAGCTTAGTTTTCTGGTTTCTGACTCACTGCAGATTAAGGGAGAAAATAAAACTTAAAAAAAAAAAAAAAGAGCTAGAGAGGAGGCTGGCTGAGCCGCTGGAGGCTGGCCCAGCAAGCACAGTGAGAGGGGCGTGCTGAATCTGACATAAAGGGAAGATGTGAGACAAATAAAAGGCTCTGGGAGAGTGGGATCATGTGCTCTTCTGTGGCAAGTGTTCATAACACTGACCCGGAGTCGTCAGTAAGGTTCAGTGGTAAGAGCAGGTCCAAGATGGCAGCATAGGAAAACCCGAAACTCACCTCCTCCCATGGACATGCAAATCTACTCCAACATAGAGAGGAGCAATTCCTCCCGAAGAACTGATGGCCAACTAGACAGCTTCTCAGCGAAGTACAGAGGCACAGTAATATTGGAGCCCTGCCCCCAGCACTACCAACTGCAGGGGGAGGGATCCCTCCAAGAAGCACCCTGCACAGAGCACCCCGGGCATACACAGTCTATACAGAGGACATTCCTACACAAAGTCATTCCTTCAAGACTTGGGGAGGTACCTTTTTCACCTAATTCATAGACAGAAAAAGTCAAAGTGAGGAGACAGAAGAACCTGCTCCAAGCTAAAAAAAAAAACAAGACAAAACTTCAGAAAAATAACTAAGTAAAATAGAGATAGCAATCTAACTGACAGAGAGTTCAAAGAAATGGTCCTAAAGATGCCCACCAGACTTGAGAGAAAAGTGGATGAACTCAGTGAAAATTCAACAAATAGAAAATACAAAAAAAGAACGAATCAAATAAAGAATGCAATAGCAGAAATGAAAATTACACTAGAGGGCATCAATACTAGATTAGAGGATGTAGAAGAACAGATCAGCATCTGGAAAACAGGGCATAGAAAGCACCAAAGCTGAACGGAAAAAAGAAAAGAGAATTTTAAAAATTAGCATGGGGGGTCCCTGGGTGGCTCAGCCACAGTTAAGCATCCGACTCTTGGTTTCAGCTCAGGTCATGATCTTATGGGTTGTGAGACTGAGCCCCACATTGGGCTCTGTGCTCAGCAGGTAGTCTGCTTGAAGATTCTCTCCCTCTGCCCCTTCCCCCACTTGCTCTCTAAAATAAATAAATTTTTTTAAAATTAGCATAGGTTAAGGGACCTCTGGGACAACATCAGGTATACTAACATTTGTTATTAGAAGAGAAAGAAAAAGAGAAAAAGGGGCAGAAAACTATATTTGAAGAAATAATAGCTGAAAATTTCCCTAACCTAGGGAAGGAAATAGACATACAGGTTCAGGAAGCACAGAGTCCAAAACAAGATGAACTCAAGAGGTCCACACCAAGACACAAAATAATTAAAACGTAAGAAATTAAAGAAAATCTCAAAAGAGGCAAGGGAAAAACAACTAGTTATGTTTAAGTGAAACCCCATAAGGGAGATACTCTGAAGGCAAGAAGGCATGATACATTCAAAGTACTGAAAGGAAGAAAACTATAATCAAGAATATTCTACCTAGCTAGGTTATCATTCAGAATTGAAGAAGACATAAAGAATTTCCCGGACAAAAGTTAAGAGTTCGTCACCACCAAACCAGCCTTACAAGAAATGTTAAAGGGACTTCTTTAAGCAGAAAAGAAGGGCCTTCAAGAAAATTATGAAAGAGAAAAAAAAAAATCACTGATAAAAGTAAACAGTGCACATCACTTGTAAACCTAGTATGAAGGTTAAAATGTAAAATCAATCACATGTACAAAAATTAATGGATTCACTATATAAAAATGTATGTAAAATAGAACATCATAAATATAAAACATGGAGGGGGAGGACTAAGATTGTAGTGTGTTTGAACTTACGTGACCATCAACTTAATATACACTGCTATGTACTTAGGGTGGTATTATATAAACCTCATGGTAACCACATTTATATATCTATAATGGATAACAAAAAATAAAGAGAAAGGAACCCAAACATAACACTAAAGGAAGTCATCAATCATAAGGAAGGAGAGCAAGAAGAACAGAGAACTACAAAAACAACCAGAAAACAATTAACAAAATAGCAAGTACATACCTATCAATAATTACATTAAATGTAGACAGACTAAATGCTCCAGTCAAAAGACATAGATGACTGAATAAAGAACAAGACCCAATTATATGCTGCCTACCAGAGACTCACTTCAGATATAAAGACACATAGAAAGTAAAGGTATGGAAAAAGATCATCCATGCGCATAGAAGAAAAACCTGTAGCGATATTATATCAGACAAAATCAAGTTTAAACCAAAGCCTGTAACAAGAGAGAAAGGCAAGCATTACATAATCATAAAAGGATTGATCCAACAAAAGGACATAACAATTGTAAATATGTATGCAACACAGGAGCACCTAACATAGGAAGCAAATATTGACAGACATAAAGGGAGAAATTAACAATAATGCAATAATAGTAGGGGACTTTAATACCCTGCTTATATCAATGGACAGAACATCCAGGCAGAAAATCAATAAGGAAACAGTGGATTTAAGTACATTAGACCACATGAACTGAGCAGATATATACCGAGTATTCTATCTGAAAACAGTATAAACGTTCTTTTCAAGTGCACCTAGAACATTTTCCAGGATAGATCATGGGTAGGCCACAAAACAAGTCTCAATAAATTTAAGAATAATGAAATCATATCAAGCGTCTTTTCCAACCACAGCAATATGAAACTAGAACTCAGAAGAAAAGAAAAAAACTGGAAAAACCACAGACACGTAGAGGCTAAACAACATGCTACTGAACAGCCAATAGCTATATGAAGAAATCAAAAAGGAAATCAAATACACCTGGAGACGAATGAACCTGGAAACACAGTGGTTCAAAATCTTTGGGACACAGGAAAAGCTGTTAGAAAAATTTATAAGGATACAGGCCTACCTCAAGAAATAAGAAAAGTCTCTCAAATAAACAATCTAAACTTAAACCAAACAGAACAAGAAAAAGAATAAACAAAGCCCAGATTTATAGAAAAAAGGAAATAAAGTTCAGAGCAAAAATGAATGAAATACAGACTAAAAAAGAAATAGAAAAGATCAATGAATCTAAGAGGTAGATCTTTGAAAAGATAAAATTGGCAAACCTTTTGTCATAGTAATCACAGAGAGAGAGAGGACCCCAAATAAATAATATCAGAAATGAAAGAGAAGTTACAATTGACACCACAGAAATATATAGGGTTATAAGGGTTAAGGGTTACAAAAAAAAAAAACTATATGTCAACAAATTGGGACAACCTAGAATAAATGGATAAATTCCTACAAATATACAATCTTCTAAGGCTGAATCAAGAAGAAATAGAAAATCTGAACTGATTACTAGTAACAGAATTGAATCAGTAATCAAAAAAAAAAAAATCAAACTCAACAATACATTAAAAGGGTCATTCACCATGATCAAATAGGATTTATTCTAGGGATGCAAGGATGGTTAAATACCTGCTAATCAATGTGAATACACCACATTAACAAAATGAAAAATAAAAATATGATCATCTCAACAGATGTAGTAAAAGCATTTGACTAAATTCAACATCCTTTCATGATAAAAACTCTCAAGATGGGTTCAGAGGGATCACCACACATCAACATAATGGAGGCCAAATATGACAAACCCAGAAGGTAACCTTATATGCAGTGGTGAAAAACTGAGAGCCCTTCTTCTAAGATCAGGAACAAGACAAGAATGTCCATTCTTGCCACTTTTATTCAACACAGTATTGGAATCAGACAGGAAAAAGGAACAGAGACATCCATATTGCTAAAAAAGGAAGTAAAACTCATTTGCAGAGGACATGATACTAAATATAGAAAACCCTGAAGATTCCAGAAAAAAAAAACTATTAGAAAAAAACTATTAGAATAAATGAATTCAGTAAAGTTGCAGGATACAAAATTAATATATAGAACCTGCTGCTTTTCTATATACTAATAATGAAGTATCAGAAAGAGAAATCAAGAAAACAATCCCATTTACAATTACATCAAAAAAATACATAGGAATAAATTTAACCAAGGACATGAAAGATATGTATGCTGAAAACTGTAACATACTGATGAAAGAAATTGAAGATGACACAAATAAAAGGAAAGATATTTGGTGCTCATGGCTTGGAAGAACACTGTTAAAATGTCCATACTACACAAAGCAATCTGCAGATTCAGTGCAATCCCTATCAAAATTCCAATGACATTTTTTACGAAACTAGAACAAAAAACTCTAAAATTTATATGGAACCACAAAAGACCCCACATGGCCAAAACATTTTTTTTCTCCTTATTTAAATCTGTTTATTAAAGAGCAGCATTACATTACCAATGTAGACATTTATTCATGGACTGGGACATAGTTTTT